ACTGTAATAGAGCTATCTAGGAGAGTGACCTGTGAAGAGACTGGAGTGAACACACAGAGCTCAGAGACCATGAACATCACACATGAGACTCACAGACACACCAGCTCTGCAGAGGCTTCACCTGGAGGGCACAAGCTGAGGAGTGGCAGGACACTAGTTGAAAAAGCTCTGTCAAAGATGCTTTAAACCCTGCTCCAGGACAGTCTCTGAAGTGATAATCAGCTCAACACAAACTGCTAGGATAAATGATAATCTCAGTTTTGCTCTTCATTCCGATCTTTGTTAGCTACTATATCCCAGACGCTGTCATTACTGCTTCTAGTAACTACTACTACAGCCTGCAGTTCTGCTATGTTCTCTTCTTCAAAAACAGAGGCCAGCACATACTGTGTTGCTTCACCATAACTTGTCTATGTTGAACTAAATTCATTAATTTTGTATTTTGAAAGTTCTTAATTGCTCCCTGCCTTCTCGCAACTCAAAACTTAGTTTCATTTATCTCTAACAAGACCATTTGCTCCAACTGTTTTATTCTCCGTATGGCACAAACAGCTGCTTCAACCTTCTTAGAAGAAATTTTCATATACAAAATGCAGATTCTTCTTAGAATGGCATGACCTTTAAAAAATATTAATGAATCTTATATTAGCATACCACTTCTAGAAGTAATGACGCCATGAAGATTGCAAATTTTAGAGCTTATCTAGTTTCTTTTTAGCGAGCACAGAGGGACACTCTGGATCATGCCTGAGTTTAACATTAAGAACTCAAACTACCTTCTTCAAGATTTTGAGACATTCTTTGTGGCTTTTGAACATGAAGTATTAATGTGGACATAATGCAAATCTCAGAATGCATTCCTCATTTCCCTGGATGATTCAGAAATACCTCTACGCTCAATTTTCTTCCCACCTCACCTGGGACAGCAGCAACAACCTTTTTTCAACCACAAAGATGTACAACAGCTGCTTCTCCTTTCATAAAATTACTGCCTTAAAGGAGACTATTGTACAAATGCCTCAAATTTCCAGCTGACAAACTTTAAAGTCACAGGTTAGTGGGCTACATAGCAATATGGGTTTTCATTCCATCTCCTGTCTCCAGCCACTCCCTTTACACAATTCTGTCCTACTATTTTGTATATTCTGTGACCTTATTTGCTAAAGACTCTTCTTTCTGGACAAGTCTGAAGACGATACTGGTTTATTGCTTCTAGTCTTCCATTTTCAGTTTGCTTAACATTTCCTGTAACATTAACATTTACAGAAGCACAAGAAACAGGGCATTAAGAATTAGAAAGTCTAACCACAACGTTGATCAGCTTTTACAATCTGAAATTTAAGATATAAAGAACCTAAATTCCTTCTGAAAATATTCAGTTTAGGAGAAAAAAATCCTCTCAAGTATATTTGCTCCTAAAACTGCTAAGCAAGACATACTGAACGGAGTCTAATACCTACTCAAAAGAATCTCTCAAGGTTTACAATTAGACCTCTCAATTGATGAAAAAAAATGTTTACAATATCATCACCCCAGTAAGTTCTGTCGATAAATCTATACAGTATTTTAGTTGTAGAAAGTTTTGAAGTTTTCTGTTTGCATTCCAAGAGCAGCCTGACAGCAAGCCAGCACAAGCTCTCAAAGAGATGCTCTCCTTGAAAAAAATGGGTACCTGTTCTTGTTCCTATCAAACCCCTCTGTGGGGATTTTGGGTGTGCAGTGATGAGTGTACAGGTTTGCCTCATTTCCCATCATAGTAGCTGGAAGGCTTGGATTGTTCTAACAGAGGAGACCAAGTAGCAGCCTGTCTCTTCCAACATGTGGGGCATTTAGGTAGCACGTGCTGCTCTCTTGTTTGGGATTATTGGTAAAGGTACAATGCAGATGTGTACCTTTATAAAAACAAGTCTCTGTAAACACTTCTGTTGCCAATATTATGTTGCAAATACCTCAGAAGAAAGACGTTTTGTTTTTTTGAGGTAGGCGTTGGCTGCACCTGTAGTGCATTTAACATTCCAGCATTTTTGCTTAAATGAGCATGGCTGGAAATATCAGTAGCCATCATGTGATGAAATTCTGTTACGCAAATCATCTCCCATCTTACCTGGTTACCTTTCTCTTCTGTATTCATTTTTTTATTTCGGGAAGAGAAGTTGATGGTTCTAGTCAATGCTAAAAAGACATAAAAAATTATTTAGCTACTGTTGTGGTTTAACCCCAGCTGACAATTTAGCCCCACACAGCTGTTCATTCATGAAAGCTTTAACCATTTATCACTGGAGAGACTGTGAATTTGATTACAAAGCAGGTTTTTAGTTCTGAGTTACTATTAAAACATTCCATTTACCTGGTTGCTACTTATATATGGTTATGTGAAGCCACAAAATAGACTTGTCAGTAAAGCAACACCCAAATCACTCCATAATGAAGAATTTGGCTTACAAGCAGCTTGGTAGAAAAAGTCTGACTTTACAACAATATCCTGAATTTTGGTCTTGTTAATTTCTTAATTGCTAAAATATGTAGAACAATTAAAGACTTCAAGATTTAAGTGATATTTGTTTCAAGATTTAAATGTGCAGTGGGTTGAGTTCTATGGAATTAGGAATATATAATGTTTTACTATCTTAATTATCACAGCCATACTGAGAATCTCTATTAACTGCTTATATCTAGACGCCCTTTTCAATGATAATTATTGTCCTGGATTGTGTAGTGTCATCATGTGTACATGAGCTTGCCTAGAACTTTCTCAGAAAGTGTAATGGAGATAAAATACTGTAGTCACCAAGATACTTGCTGCAGTGCTACCACTATTCGGACAGCCTGATTGAATGTTGCAGAAAAATGACTCTCCAACCAACCCTTTCATGTGCCTTACTGATATTGCAGATCTTCTGCAGACTTTTGTGAGTAGGCTGAGTAGTCCATGGAATTTTCCAGCTCCATTTTAGCACACAGTTTTAAGTTGGGTTTGTTTGGTTTTTTTCTTGAAAAAGATCGTGTCTACTTATTCTCCCCTATCCGTGCATTGCTCAAAATCTCTCATTGGTTATTTGAAAAAATAAGATGTAACAAAACCAGCAGAAAACTGTCTTTATCTATCTTTTTTAGCCACCAGTAAAAAGAGGATTTCAAGGGCTGCATGCTGTACTAGTCATTCCGCACAACTTGCCTGCCTATACCTTTCCTTCTCGTGTTTTGCAGTAGCTTTGCTGACACTGAATTACCATTTAGCCTGTGCCATGTACCTGGTACAACTGCAAGTTTTAAATTCTTCAGTAAATTTTAGCCATGGTCTGCTAATATGAAAAGTGTTGGTGATGGAATAGAAAAGATTTTTTCAGGCAAGCCAGGCTGAAGAGGTTCTGCTGTTACCGGCTTAAATTTCACCATGTGCTCAAAGCTCTTTGGGCCAAACTTTCTTCTCCATTTAGAGTTCATCCAAAGCAATGTAATATTTCTGTTGGTACACTGAAGCTGTAAATTTTTATTCGGTTAACAGCAAGTCCCTTTAATTTTAATGTCAAATATTATGCTTCTAGTTTACTTAACTAGTTCTAGTTTATGTTTTATGTAACTAGTTTTTTTATCAAACAACTGGCAAAATCTAGTTGGGTAATACTAATGATTGTTTTCCTTTTAAAGGGAAATATAGAACTTCTCTACAAATTAAAGTATTGATTGGGTGTTAACCAGCAAAAATGTTGATTTTAAAAGTACAAAAAAAAGGGCTTACATCCATGTGTTTCAGTATTCAAAAGAAGCCTGAGATCATAAAAACAGACAACATCATTGCTCTGTTCCATTCATTTTTCTCTGCATCGACTGAACTGTAGAAGTCCTCCCTGAGATGCTTAGCAGTGATGTGAACTAAAAGCCTTACTGCAGTGTGAACAACTGAGGTGTGCCAGTGGTGAGGCAGGGCTTTTACAGAGCACTTTGAATATAATACTGTCTGTAGCTAGTGCTGTTAGTGATCTGATTCTTGAACCTTGCTAATGTCAGCCCTGGCAAACAAAAAAGACTGTCAGGCGTTAGCAAGCTTCACAATATTTGGATATTGCTAGGTAGGAATAAGCTAGGAAATAAGCTTTCAGGGCTAAATTTGGTAGATAAAGGGGTGACCCAATTTGGAAGGCTGCTGATCCAGTGCAAGAAACAAGCCAAATCCCAAACCTGAAATATGAACCCTTTGAAAATGCAGGACAATATATGTGCACCAGAGTGAAGCCTTTTTGTAATTCCAGTCCAGGTGTCTTGTAGATACTGCTTCCACCTTTTAAGGCTACATAGGTCATAGCACAGTCTGTTATCTGAGGCCCAAATCTTATTAGATTAAGCTGTGAGAATCAGATGCTGCCAAACCTGAACTTTTGCCTTTTTTTAAGACTCAGCTCTGCAGTGGATCCCTGCTTGAAGGACCTTTTTTTTTTTAAAGCACACTCTGTGAACCTTGATACCACAATGAATTTGGTGACTTCTTAATCTTGATTGTTATCTGGAGTCTCTGTAACTTAATTATCTAGATATAACAGATACTGAGAAGTTAATAATAAACTCAGAAATCTGCTGCTTAACCAGCTGTCTTGTTAATTATGTTAACAACACGCTGGCAATCGCTTTGATTAAAACACCCTGTGTTTGGCTTGCCTTTTCAGGCCCAGTTCACTGTCTGTGCAGATTAATTTCAGCTGTGCTCTCTGTCCTTCCAAGCATGTAGAGGAGCACACCGGGTCACCTAAAGAGGCTGCTGGGAAGCACAGGACAAGCACTGCATGGGAGCATCCCTGTATACTCCAATATTCCACAGCAGCTGCTCCTGTTTAAATGGTAGGACACTGTGCAGCCAATTGCTGCCTGATTTTGAGTAAACTGCTTCTCGTAATAGGAAGGGCTGTTTTTTTTTCATCTGTTGAAGTCCAATACAAAGGCCAAATCTCCACCCATTCTGAACAGAGCATTCCTTTTGCTCTACCTTATAAAAAGGTATAGTTGTGCCAAAGGAGACTAGAACACTCCTTCAGCCTCCTTGAAAACATCTTGTGACCAGTCAGAAGGATGAAGCTCCTGGCACTTTGTGGCTTTTTGTTTGTATGTCTCCTGTGCCTCAGTGCCTTTGCTGCAGAAGGTACAGTATATATTCTTCTAACACAACTGTCTCTTTTCCTGTTTGTTCCTTTTTTGATATAAAATGCTTATTCTCTATATTGTTTTTGATTAAAGGAAACAAACAGAGCTTGACAGAAAAGGAGGATTGAATTTAGGAAAGGGCTTAGACTGCAGAATGTGGTTGCATATCAGTGCTTTGGTTTGTACTGTAGTGTTTCCTCTGTTATTGCCTGTTGCCTGTAGTATAGTGTGATTAACCTTTACTTTAATCTGTGTTCTGAAACCCACTCCTCTGAAAAAAATTCCTGTTACGTTTTTCCAGGAGATAACCATCTGCCAATGTAAAAATAATGTATTTTCTGAATACTGGGAAATGTGTTAATGGGAAAAGTTTCTACCCTTATGAAACAAGGGAACATGAATTGGTCAGGTCACTAGAACTGGAGTAAATGAGAAGTTCTTTATAAAACGGTGAAATAGGTGAAAGTAGCTCTTCTGACCTTCAATCCATCTTGACTTTTTTTCCCTTTGTTTTTTTGTTGGTTGGGGCTTTTTTTACCACTGATATTCCACACTTTAATTGTTGCATTACATTGTGGCACCTAGTTACCATTTTGCAGTATTCCAAATTCAGAGAGCAGCTGAAATCTTAAAAACGGAGGATTTTCCATCTTTCTGTAGCCACATCTCTGGAGATGTCATTCTGTGTTTTCAGGAGGACAGTTCAGTAGAAATTCTAAATTGAAAGGTGTAACTTCTAGAGTTACCTGTGCAGATTTGATGTTTGACATTGTAAATCTCTCAGACCTACCATGGTTCTTCACAGTGTGTATTTTATACAAGATGTAGAGAATGAATATGAGATAAGGAAAAACAAATAAGCTAAATGTTCAAAGGTCAGGAGCAGCAGACTTGCTATGCCTGATATTTTCTAGAAACCTTGTAAGAATCACTTTATGTGTAAATATGAGCATGGAGAAACATATGGAAGTGGTCTTTCTAATTGGTTAAATCAGCTGCCCAGTTTTCTCACTTACTGGAGTCTGCTCTGAATGGTAGAGCTATTTGCCAGAGTGGTGGTACCTGAAGTCCTTCTGCTCCCTTTGCCTTTTCTGCTTCTGTTTGTTCAGGTTCTCCATGCCCCTTGAGGAAAACTTAAGGAACAGTGCAAAGGATGTTGAAGAATTTCTAGATGTGTGTTCAGGACCATAAAGAAGCCTGTCCAGGAAGGACAGGAGAGAGAGCAATACCAATAAAATGCAAATGAATACATGCAAAATCCTGTGATAATGTTCCCCTTTTGTTGATGTGCACCCTAAGGGTTTGGTGTTTCATTAAGGCAGAAGGTGGGGAGGAAGAGTACAAAGGACACTGTTCCTTATCTGTAAGCCCTGATGCACAAGTAGAAGTACCTGGGTGTGCAAGATGAATGTATTTTTCATGTAAAACCTGTTACATCAGAATTTAATTATGGTGACAAGACACCTCAATTTTGATGCTAGATCAGCCACCATCACTAGCCTTGGCTGTAGAACTTGCCACAGGGATTTCCAGAAACACTGAGCATATGTTAGAGTTTGTTGATGAGAAATCATCTAGCTCTGTCCTTTCTGCTCCACCTCAGCTCCAGAGTCAACCCTTCTTTCCCCTTTACTACGTCCAGCACCTATTGTGTCAAGTGCAATCGATAGCTCACTTATATAGGTCTAGGAGGGAGGGAATTATTAAATGGCTTTGCTCACCCAAAGCAATTTAAACTACACTCCTCTTCATCTGAACAGAGAGATGCTCTTTTTTCCTCTTGAGAGTCTTTTTTATTTTCATTAAGTGGTGTAACAAAAAGAGTGCAGTCTTTTCCCTAGGTTCAAATGGCTGGAATTTGTTGCTTGTACTGCCTGCCAACGTGACATTTCAAAGGATAAAGAAATCTTGGCAATGTATCTTATATATAAATATGAATATATATGTGTATATATGTATATGAGTAATGATGGAAAAGAACAAATTAGTTCCTGTTCCACACTAGGGACAAAGCTATGTACAGATTTAAAGATCGGTCATGATAATCCTTTGTTTTACAGATCTCTTCATACAAGGATTTTAGTGGTAAATAAAGTAATCAAAATGTCTGTGGACTCTAACACATTTAGTGTATATGTACAGTTATTTGCATTATCTGTCTCCACTGGTAACAAATTATTTTTCGCCCTTAGGTCGGGAGGTTAGAAAAGTCTGCTGCTCAGTAGTACCCAAACACAACAAAAAAGCACATAAAGGTAAAAAGGTTTACAGTTTCATTACATTAATTAGGTAATCATTATTATTAGGTAATCTTTTCTCAGGCAACTTACTGAGTGTTTGGATTGGAAAGAAATAAGATTACAACAGAATCCATTTAATGCTCACATGGTAAAATAATCAAGAGAAATATGATCTGGTGTGATTAAAGGAGAGGAGTATCATAACGTAGTTCCTCTGATAAGAACAGAGGTTGCAAAAGTGAAGTATTATGGTGGCTTTGCCTTGCTGTATTCCATCACCATCTCTATATACCTGCATCCATCTTCATGTTTTTAGAGATCAACCAAACTGTGATTCTGTAAATTCCTAAAAATCCAATTTTCGAACCCACAGCTCCACCAGAAACAGAAATTAACTGAGATTGAATTTGTCCTAAATACGTGTGTGTTAAGACTGCCCAAGTAAAAATCCACAGTATCCCAGGTTTCAGTGAGACCCCAGTTAAAAAAAAAAAAAAAAAGCTAAGCCATGAAAAGTCCAGGATAAAAGGATTAGGTATAGTCTTTAGAATAATGGTATCTTAAACCTTAATGTTTCTAAATTCAGCAAAATATCTAACTGATAACTTCTGTTAAACTCTAAAGATACAGAATTTGATTTAAAACCATCTATTTCCTATTTCTCATCTTTTCATCTTAAAATTACTAATTTGAAGTTCCAAGTAAATTTGTTCTAGCTGATAAATTACCTTAAATGCTTTATTCTTTTTGTATTTTTGATAACCTAGGTGGAAATCCTTGTATTTCTCTACAATTTTCCTTTAGCTGGTGCCTTTTCTTCCTTTCCAATCTCCCAGTGATGACTCATGGGCTCTGTTTTATAGACAGAGTCTCACTGGTATCAGAAGCAGTGAACACATTGTGGAGTTATTGTGGGTCAGGGGTTTATTGCTGCCTGGGGCTCCTTCTTATTTAATTGGCAGGTGTAGTAGCAACTGAGGACTTCAGCTATAAAGGATCCACAGCACTAGCAGGTTCCCAGCTCATCCACAGGGACTGTGGAGTGCAATGCTGGAGGCACAGAGGTGGCTCCTGTCACTCCTGCCCTGAGAGGGATCACACATGCTGCCTGGCTGAACCTATACCCTGTCCACGGTACTGACACTTCATGCAGTGAGCAGAGCTGTTACTTTTCAATCTGAGATACCTTCTGCTATCTGACAAAGAAGCAGGTGTTTCAGGCTTCTTTACATGCAACAGGCATGAAATCTCCCTGAAAAAAGTACATCCAAAGAGAATGTTCCTCTGAAAGCAGGCTGCTGTTTCCTGTGGATAGAGTACAGTGATGCTGGCCTCATTGGAAAGTAATGGAAAGTACTCTGCTGAAGGGAAGAAAGGAGTACAAAGGAAGCACTCAGTTAAAACACGTGAATTCACCACAAAGATCTCCTACAAAGGGAATCCAAAATGCCTTCCTCTGTTGCAGACCCAATAATAATTTATGATCTTTGCATGCCATGTTTCTCTGAGCACTACAACATCTTAACTATCTCCTGTCCTTACCTGCAGCCAAGCCTTTTTCAGGTCAGGGATTTCTGTTTATTTGCCTCTGTAGAGGGTGCACCTCGCTGCTGCAAATGACTTCCTCAGATCTGCTTATATGACAGTGCTTGATCTGAATCAGTTTCTACTCTTACTGAGAGGCAGATGTAAAACTTTGCGCCTAATGCAGCAACTGCCCAAAGCTAAACAGTGTTTTGTTTCATGTGCAGTTCTGGACCTGAACTGGGCGATGTTGGCTTTGTTTCGTGTTGTTGCTCTGGGATTTCTGGGTGACTTGTGCTTCCATGTCACTGTCCTTTCTAGGGGGATGTCACTTGGTTTATTCTGTCTTCAGGCAAAGTGCATAGACTGTTTTTCAGCACTGCTCTGCACCGTTCTTTGTGCTGGGCATGTGCCATGGGAAGCTGTAAAGCCACTTAGTGGATAACTCAGTGTGCCTTAAGGAGAGAGTTAATTTAACCATACGGGCTACTTCTGAAGTAAAACCACCAATTTCCTATAATGCTGTTCTTCCATCAGTAACAATTACTGTCCTAGAAAGCAAATGTTTCAAGCCAATGTCAGCCTGTGGCTTCTGTCCAGGAAAGATAGAGAATGTGATGATAGTAAGGGGAAGATGCTGTTTAATGTGTCAGCTGTGGAATTTGAGCTCAAGAGAGACAGTAGTACCATCTCTGTGTTTGTGAAGACCTCTGTCTGACTGTGGAAATGTCCAGCAGCAGCAGCCTAACTTTCAGTGATCGTGTATCCTCAGCAACCTAATGAAAGGAAAACAAATCTTTGTCACATCCCTTTTTATTTCAGATCACTGCTAATCTAAGTTTGCCCATACAAACATGGCTGAGCTTCATGTATTAAAGTTTTGTGCCATTTTTCACACCCCCAATTAAAAAAATCTCTCCATTTTCTCTCTTTTCCATCTTTGTTTTTTAGGTGTAAGTTCCAAAATGACTCCGAAGAAAATAAAGAAATACTGCAGGCCTTGTCCTCAGTTTCTGGTGGCTCCTGGACCCCTTCCACAGCTAAAATGAGAAGACTGAGAGGAGAGGGAAAGGCATCTGCCCATCAACACATCTTACAGTGCTTCACTTGATTGAGGGCCCTCCTTTCACAGACAGCACATGCGTGTATATTGCTTTTTGTTTGGGAAAGGCTTCAGTACTGTTTATTCCTTCACTCAGGCACCTTTGTTTTATTAATACTAACCTGGCAGTTAAAGAGTCAGCAAAGTTGTCTGGCTGCCACCAGACTTTGTATCAGTTGCATATTCCTCCACACCAAACAGGGATTTAGCTCCTCAAGTACCAGGAGGAGAAGAGCTGGTTGAAGAGGTGGCTAAATCATGTTGGTTTGCATTTCTGGGTTACCTAAAAGGTGGTAAAAGGCTGATGCTATTGTTTCTATTTATCAGTATACATGCATATTTAACCTTTTCTATGAATTATTTATTTTGTATTAACCAAGGGGTTTGCTTGTATGTAAGCATATGATGGTTTTTCGTCCAGCCTTTGCACATGGTGTTTGCAATCCACTTAGAAGCAGATTTCTACAAATGAGAAAGATCTCATCATTTAGAAAGGGCTGAGAAATTGAATAAGCAGGTTGCTAAAATAATGGTAACAGACCAGATTCAAGTAAGCTGTTCAGTACGTCTTCTGAGGCTAAATCTGACTTGAAAATCAAAGTGGCTTGTTCTTTATCTTCCTATGGAGTGTCATCAGGTGGTTATTAAACAGCATCCTGAAAAGGTGTTAAAGCTAAACAGATTTCATCTCTTCTTCTGAAGCCAGAAGGCAGCTGTTCTTTTAAGACACCTGAGTTGTGTGATCAACTCAATAAACAAAACTTACTGGAGCATGAAATAAGTGCTAAGAATAATACCAAAGGGCTGAATAATAGAGAAACTGAAGCATCCTCTGACACTTCTCTCATGTATCTTCTGTCCTTTCCTAACTGTTCTCTGCATATGCTGCTATTTCTCTGCCCGGGGGAGAGTCCTTAAAACAGAATTACTTGGTTGTTCATAAATCTGGTTTTCCTTCTAGTGAATATGAGGAGGAGTAGAAAGCTTTTCTGCTGCTGGGCAAATTGCAAATAGTAATTTTTCCCTCAGTACTTGTAGTACTACTCTTTCTCTTAACATAATTGCCAGTGTGATAGAAATGGCCTCAGTGCCCTTCACAATTTGGGGGAGTTGAATGGGAACAGTCAGAGCTGTGTCGTAACGCACACAGACAAATGCAATTCCCATGGGTCAAGTTTATGGGCCCTTACTCATGGTCCTGCTCTCATTGGCAATGTTTCTATTGTACTGAGCAATTGAGCCTATTTCTGGGTCTTCTGTGTGCTTGTTATTACTTTATTTTTGTATTGGTTTTGAGATTAGATAGATCTGACATTCAGCTTCCTATTTTTGAAGAGCTGACCATGCATAGCATTTTTATATCAAGGATAAAGGAGCTGCCAGTCCTCCTCACAAGATCTCTGAATCAGGATGTTGGTGAAGGAACTGTTTCATTTTCTATTGCTGGTCATGAGGCCAACATATTTTATTTCTATTGTCTTCTATAGCTTGCAGAAGGAATCTGTAGAATATAAATGACAAGTAAATGTAAAAGCTTTTTTGGTATTAAATGTGGTTGCAGTAGGCTTTTACTCTGTAAAATATGGCTATGTGTTTACAGCTCTGTATAAAGCATTGTTAACAGGTTTGAAGATTTTGTTCTCCAATGTGAACTTAAGCCCTTTTATATCTGAAAATGCTGTATGATTTTCCTCTCTGCCCTACACCCTCCAGCCAGTGTGTTTCACACTCTCCAATCCTCCCTCAGGCAAAATGTTCCCTCTGATAACAGAAACGTAAGCTACAAAGACCATTAACACAATTACAGAAATACTCTGGGTCTCTGGAGAGATCCCAGTACATAATTTAATGCACTTAAGTATTTCTCTAAGTTACCAGATTGGCCTCAACCCCAGGTTGAGGGCTATTCAAGTTAAAGATGCCACTTGTGTGAGGTCCTAGTCTTGGCTGAAGAAACTAAAGCAGGAATCTCCAAATTATTTCAGCGTGGATTGTGACTGCTGCCCAAATGCTTTTTCACTTCATCCAGAGGTATCAGGATCTTGTGTGAAGTAATTCCTCAGCAGAGTTTGACTCTTATGTACCAGGCCATTTCCCTATGTGGTAGAACAGAGGTACATCTGATCATGGTTTCACTTATAGGTACCTATTCTTCCTTTTGTTTTCCTTTCAGTGCTATGCGTATTTGTTTGGCATTACCAGAGGAAAAACATATTTGCTCAGTGGTTTTTCAAAGTACACAAGCTGTATGCTTATATAAAGTAGTAAATTTAGCTTATCCGAGCTGACAAATGCATTTTTTGTATCTTGTGTTTTTGCATGCATTTGGCTGTCAGGCAAGAAAATTGCACAGCCCTTAAGTTCCAATAAAGATGTTCCTGAAGTATCTCTATGCCTGCCAGAACAGATGTTGAATCCTGGTCTGACCTTGTCAATTAAGTGAGCCAGGTGGCTCCTCACTTTGTTTACAGCTTAATACCACCAGCTAACACCAAATCAGTCTGTCTTATTTGGCACTGTGACTGTGAGTTGTCAGGAGCACAGGAGAAATGATCCCTGCTGATAGGGACTGTTGCTATAGAGGCAGGTTTGGGGATCTCTTTTTTTTTCTAAGTGGGTAGTAGAAGAAATAAAAATATGTATTCTTCATACAAAATATGATCCCAAAAGGTGTGATGGGGGCTCTTCATGTTGGCTTTTCAGCCCTTTAGACTTTGTGACCCACAACTGATGCAAGGGCCTGGGCATCCTCTAAAAATTCAGGATTTTGGCTATGTAGAAGTTCTGTTTACCCAAAGTATGGACAACAGAGGCAATTTCTTGTGATTCTGTTTGCTGAGAAAAACTAAAATGCTGCATGGACAATGTCATCTTAAATAATAAACTCGATTGAAATATAAAAGCAGAAGGATAGATACTTCCTGTTGTAGATATAGAGCTAACTCTTGCCCAAGCTGAGTGGGTGGCTTTGGTATCCATTGGATCAAGTCTGAAGACTTGATCCCGTTTTGTCCAAAGTTGTTGCTAATTACTATCTCATGAGCAGCTTTAGGAAAATATTGTCAGACAGTGGAGGCAGATCAGATTTTCCCTCAAGTTTGTTCTGAAAAGAATTTATCCAAAGTTTGGCACTTTTTCCTCTTGTAGATTGAAAATTAGGGGAAAACCCTCTTACACATCAGCCTTTTTTTGCCTCAGATCAACCAGTTCCTATTGGATGTAAGCAATTGTCTCCACCATAGCTAATTTCTCTGAAGGACTCATTTTTTTTAATTGCTGTTGGGGAGCAAAGAGAGCTCCCTTGTGCTACATTAAATGATGTGAGCAAGGGTGTTGGTTCCAACCCATGTATGTTTGGGGTTCCCAGTAGCCCTTCAGTATTATTTTGGCAGCCACTGGGTAACCTACTTTGGTTTTGAACACATAACTATCCCATCATGCTTTGTCTTTTGATCTTAGAGCAGGGCTATTGGTACAGAAGGAATCCCCAAAAATTACTTCTGTTTTCAATGTCTTAATGATGGGGGTCTCTGCTAGAAAAGTTTGGTATCTGGATATGGATGCGTTCAAGTTGTCATTCAACCTTTGTGCCAACATTTGTTTGTGTGTTTCAGATGCACTGGTTCTGAGCATCTTCAAGTGGAGGGGGGGATTTAATTCCACATTTTCAGGCTGATGCTCCACAAGGGAGCTAAGGATAGAGATTTGCTTTAGGATAAGCACCTTACACTTCCAATGCCATCTGGTCAGCTTCTGAACATGATCAGAGAAATCAGGTCAATATGTGCCTATGAGTGATCCTCAACTGGACATGTCTTGTCTGACTTCTGCAACCTGATCCAATCATAGCAGTCTCTGTTCTCACAGGAAGCTGTCATACCAAGCCTAGTTACTGCCAGAGACTCAGGCTGCATCCGGGATGTTGGCTCGAGAGCTGATCCCTCCCAGCTGGCAGTACAGCACAGACAATCACAGGTGAGGATCTAAACCTGGTCTGGGAGGCACTCAAGCCAAGCATTCAGAAGTTCCATGCACACAAAAATGCCTGTTCATTAACTGCCTGATAGGCACCTGTACAATTGTTTACCCATATTGTTGTGCACGTGCATTTGTGAGAAGTGTAGTGCAGTCATAGCAACTACTATATCCTGGCTAATAGGGTGTCCTAGTGCAAAAGATAAACAGCCACAGGGTTTCCCTCACCTGACAAGCAAGATGTCATTTAGATCAGTGAAGAAAAGTGGTTTTCTGCTGTCGTGTTGTTTAGTCTTCAGCACTGATGCCAACCACAGGGGGCGAAAAGCCATGTTCCTGAGGCACCACTTGGTGCTTGCCTGGTCTCTGAAAATCACGTCTCTGTAGCATGCTCTTACAATTGCCTCCCAAGACTGAAGTGCACTGGAAAACATTGTCCTTTGGTAGGTGAGTTCTCCACACAAAACTTCCTACTTGCATTGTCACAGAGCCTTGTCAGTGCCAGTTTTGTGGCATGTTCACCGAGCAATGCTAAAACCTATTTGCATCCCAGAATTTTCCCCAAGAGATCAATATGCCTGTGAAGAAAGATGTTTTCATACAGAAAAAAGTGTGAAGAAGTCCATCTGTTTACGAATGCTATCAGAGAAACAGTGAGATGGTTGAAAACAAGATTCTGTTTGAGCTGAGATAATGCAGCAGTGTCTGCAAGTCCCTCTTTAAAGTGTTCTTTTAATGGCTTTCCAGTTGCTCATTTTCATTTCTTGGGAAGCAATAAATGATAGCAATTGTCACTGAGCTCTTATCTTGAAGTTGTTTGAATGTACTAAGGTTAAACAATTCAGCATTTTCCTTTTACTTAGTTAAATATATACCAATACTGCTGCTTTATTCTGCAAACATCTTCAGGTGTGTGATTGAAGAAAGGAGAGATGAAAAAAAAAATCTGAGCTGAAGATTTGTCTGCCAAAACCCTATGTGTGTCATTGACCTTAACCTCATAAGCTCCACCTTTGCTAGTCTTTGAAAGGAACTGCCCTTAAATTTACATTTAAGTCAAGACTCAGCATTTTTGAAAACAGATCCCTAAGTCTCAGAAGTGAAGTTGACCTGCTTTTCGTAATTTTATTTTAAAATGTGCTTTGAACTTTTTCCTGTCCATTGAACAGAACTTTCCCCTTCTATCCTCAACATTCTCTCAGTACTTTCTTTTGTTACTAGGCATGATTTTACAGTTCTCCATGTCAAGTCTTCCTCCTTGTCTGTTTCACGGAATAGAAAAGTAATCTTTTGTCTCTTGGCTTGATGGTCCCCCAACTATTCTTTGTCTATGTGGGATCTTATCTCAGAGAAATTCTGCTGTCTGAATTCCCTCAAGATTTTCTCTTTGCGCTGAACAATTTTGTCTCCATGAATTTCTGTCCATGAGTCTGACTGGTGCTGCATTGCATTTGTTGTTTTCAGACATTATTTTTGTACCAAGGACAGTTACAGGATTGGAGCACCTCTGTTTCAAGGCACCATATAACCATCCTGAAGCCACGGCACGAGAAGGGACTTTTCTGTCATTTAATTTGTATCTCACTGCAATAACTTTGGATCGTGTAATCTCAGTTAGCAGATGTGGAAGTCTCAAATATCTTATTAATTCTTCAAATTAATATCTATTGTTTAGATTCTTGCTATAGAGTTCTATTGATTCCTTTTATTGATAGATTGTTGTTAAAAAAAAGGGCAAATAAATATAGTATTTTGAGATAAAGTACTAGAAAGTGTGGGAGGAGACAATAAGAGCAGAGTGTTCATACAGCTGATCTTTGGGGTCTAGCCAGGTTAAACTACTTGTTTTGAGAACCAGCATATGTGCAGGACTATTGACTGTAGAATTCTCTCCAGGTAAAGGCTAGATAGTTGATAGAAAATTGAAAGTGGGAATAGAATTATAGTTCTGCATGTTTCATAGGTAAAATAAATTACCTCAGAGCTGCATATTTAATACTCTTACAATAGAAAATTTGTTGAAATGTATGTTGTTTTCTAGGTTTCTAGCACCACTTTGGTTTAGGGCTGCCTGAAAACTCAGGTTTCCTCTTGATACAGCAATCAGAGGGAAAGGCTGAGCTATGCCCTAGTTGGACATCCCATATCCTAAAAAGGTAATTACCTCAGCACTTAGGCCAGTCTGAGAGTTGCTGAGTTGTGGGATTCCCTTCTGAAATGGTTAAGGTACACCCCTGCATTTCCAAGAGAGGGGTGGTAGGAAGTTCCATCTGCAACCACAGTGTCATTCATTTACCTGAGTAAAATCCAGCCCCTGTGGCCAAAGTGCTGCTGTGGTCTAGAGCTGATCACTATCGAGGGCTTTAGTTCACCTGTAGTCTTTGCATTCATGCCATTCCTGTGCATTCCTGGACAGCTGAGTTTGGTTATACATGGCAGCAAAAGGAGCATGTTTAATTTTCATACTTTCCCTGATTCAACAAGCCATTTTACTCTCTTGTAAGCAGGGCATCTATATAGGGATGTCCACGGCACATACAGCAGTCAGGAGATTTATGGGGAGAACACAAGCGTTTCTTTGCTCTGCCTAGACAAGTCTTGTTATTTTTCTCAGCCACACTGAATAAACTATAAAATCTTGATTTATTTGTTATTCACACCCCAACTCTTGAGTTATATGTATAATTTTTACAGGCAAAACAATGAACAATACTAGTTCTTTCATAAATAACTTGGGCTGTCTGGCTGCTGCTAAATGGCATCCTTCACACAGATCTCTGTCATGCTCCACGGCACCACATGCATCACAGAACACGCTGCTGAAGTGAATGTAGGCTATCTAAATATACCTGGATATTCTAGAGAATATTTGTTCATTTTCTATCCCTGTCAAAAGAAAATGAAGAGAGTGATTTGTAACTTCCAAAGAAGTAAATTTACTGAATTGTAATGGATTTTGCAGTGGTCTTTAAAAGCCTCTAAGCTAGTAAAATGGATAGCAGGAACTTTAATTACTTAGCAGCTGCAGAAAATATTCCCCTTTCCCCAATTACCTGCAGCATCTTTTTTGCAAATGCTATAAAGCACTCTTTGGCAGACTAAAACCAGGAGAAGCCGTATCTGAGATGAAGTTACTTCTTTTCCCCAGGAATTCCCCAAACCTCTGCTGCCATCCACAGTAAATGACAATAACTCATGATAAATCATTTAGGTAAGTGCTCTGAGATTTTTGTTTTGTAGATGAGTATTTCTGACGAGATGAAAGTGCCACCTCTTTACCTGTGTGGAAAAAATGTCCACCAGTTTGTTTGGATAGCACTTTGTTGTGTGTTTTGAAGTCACTGTGGAAGTGCTGAAATAAGTGGGTATTTGGTGTCTGTTCTCCCTGGTTTT